CATTCTGTTTGAGCTTTGTCTTTCAGCTCCAACTTCCTACTAGTGACCCAATTATGCTACTAAATGGAATTTTAATGATCACTCATCCTTTGATGTACAGTTACTTCAGTCTTCAGTTGAAATCTGTGACAAAGATGGCTCAAGTTGATTATGTGATGATTTAGGAAGACCTATCAAAGAGAGGACTTCATTGATGCTCTTGAATCTCGGTTTCTATTCCTTGCCGTCGATGCCCGGTCTACTTAGAGGTAATTTGAACTTGAAATTTCCAAGTCTCATGAGTGTTTGATTATGATATGCAAACGGCTGTGATCTTCCCTTTGCGTGCTGAAATGTTCTAGTCTTTGCGAGTTCCTGGTGATGTTTTCCCCGACGTCCGTCTGTCTATTTTGACTTTTTATGACTGCTTTTGTCTGTTTGTTGTTATCTAATCTCGCTGCTCAAACCATTGTTTGTTTCAGTTGGGTTTTTTGAGACAAGCATGAGGCAATAAAGGGTAAATGAAGTCAGGGTATGGCTGTATATATGCAAGGTAACGCTGCCATTTAGATTGGTGTTTACCAAAACCAAGTAGGTTGTGTGCTCATGGGATCTCTAGTTGTGTTTTGGTGGGAACTAACATATATTGTTAGTTAATCTTTGTTGACAAACTTTACTCTGCATCGGTCATCATGACTACAATGTGAGTGTTTATAGTTTTGGCCTTTAACCTGGTTGCACTCTGCACGTTCTGTTTCTTTCTTTTCTATACTCAGATTCAAGTTAACCATCTGAATATAGTTTACATTCATTCCACATTGGTTTCACTATTTTAAGTAAACTTTAGAAAGTTCAAGGAGTAAATGGATCACAAAGATTATAGGAGCTCTAATTGAGTTTCAACTATGCAGCCAAATATCTATAGCTAGATGTTTTCAGAATAATGCTTATTTACTGGGTATTGGAACTTGATAACACTAAGTGATGTTTTGTTCTATTTAGCAGCTTGACCTTCATCTGCTTTCTCAAAGAAGAAAAAAGCTGGCCGAGAAGGCAGAGCTAGGCAGCTTCAACCCCATGAGTGAGGTTTGTCTCCAGATTTCTTCGTAGTTATTATGTAGTGTTCACTTATGCAACTCCTTCTAGCAATTCTACCAACAATGAAAGTTACTTACACTGTTAGTTTCTGTCACCTTCTGCAGATCTACTCTGAAATATCAGTAGAAGTTTTGTCCCTTTTGGTATTAAGTGTCAAGGTGCGTGATACTATCTTTAAAGTTGTAGTATTAGAACATGATCTAGACCGCTGTTATCACCAATACTTCTCATGATGTGTGCTTATTATAATTATTATGTTATTATGGAATATGCGTTATCACCAAAACTTATCTCATAGGTGTTTTGTGTTTTACTTACATCATAGGTTGACTTGGAGAGGGAAGCTATTAGGCAGAGACGGGTGCAGGATCTAAATGCTCAAAGTTGCGCAGTAATTTATAGTTCCTCTTACTAACTGAATTGGTTCCTTTCACATTATAATTAATATCTTTATGGGTTGGACTCTACTATCTCAATTGAACTTAGTTTTCTATCTTTTGTTGTTGCTTTGGGTTATTGGTAAACTTCATTGATTAATCCCTTTTGTTTTATGTATACTCCACCGAATGCTGCTTCTGATTCTCCCAAAGAAACCCTTAAAGCCTGTTAATTTTCCTTGTTCTCCTCTGACCACTCTCATGTTACCTCTGTTGTGTTCTCATGCCTCCTTGTATTGGCCTAACGGCCTAACCCCTAACCTCTTTGCCATTCTTCTCCTCTGCAGGGAATCTACATATCTAAAGCATTCAATTGTAAAATCTTATTGATATATTTCTTGGATAGATGGTTGGGATTCGGGTGTGGGTAATCTGCACAGATAAACCTGCTTGAGGGAGTTCAAAAAACTTGTTGTAGCAGGTAACAAGTATGTTTTTCTTTTGTTTTTGTTTTTGTCTTTTATAGCAGAGAATGGGGTTTTACCAAAATATACTTGCAAACTAGTGCACCTGTTGTAGCTCACAGTGACCCGGCGGTCAATGACAAGGATAATACAACCTTATACGGATCCATCATGGAGGATCGGTTAAAGCATGAGCTGAAGTTTGACAGATTACTAGGCCATGAATAGGTGACTGTTTGCTATCTCTGTCTCATCTCACTGAACATTTTCATTTTTTCAATCTCAGAAGGCGTTGTTTGTTTCTTAATTTCCAGGTTGTAAACAATGATTTCAGTGATGCTGGTTCACTTGCAGCATCAAGGGAAAATGGACTAGTAAGTTTAACTTTTATTTACCCTGCTATATCATGTAAAAGCCTTCATGAATGTGTAGAAGCCTTCGTGAATAAATTATTTTAATGGTGAAACAAATAAGAAAAGAGAAGACTTAGGGGGGGAAAGGCATGTTAATAAGGGTGATTGGTGTAGTGGACACGAAGGCAACTATAATGGGTCTGGTCTGTATTATTAGTGTGGCAGAACATAAGGTGAGAGCCAGTAAGCACTTTGAGGTTAAAAGAAATGTAATATCTATTTCATAGTTCCTTCTTATTTTCCAACGAAATAGTTAATGGGTTGATAGGTAGGTGTCAGGGTGGGTTCACTTTCATTATTCATATTTTTGTTACTAGATTCTTGTTTAGCTTACCACATCTTCATGCTCTCTTCTTATTGTTGAATATTGTAGAATAGGTGTGATAGAAAGGTAGAATTTGTTGTGTTTTGCCACAAGCCTTCGATGGTTATGCTTGTAAACATGTGGACATTGAGGCAAGGATTCTAGTGTTGTACTCTTCTCATGTGAGTCTTTTAATTGGTTTTAACGCCCTGAAGCAGTAGATCAAGAGCAAACGATGGGGAGAGATATTAAGGCATGGATACGAGGTAATTTGGTTTTTGCATATTGATTAGTGCTTGTTGAATCTATGGTTTTTGCATTTGTGCTTTACCTTTAATTTAATTCTTGTTGGGCATTTCCCATCTTTCATTTTTGTGTGCAGAAGTGTTCCCGGAGCTTCTGGTTATTCTTGTGGGTATTTCTGGAGCTGTTCTTCCCTCATCCTTCAATTTATTTTCTCTCTTTTTTTTGCATCAATTGTACTGGTTGTATTTGGTGGTATTAAGCAGTTAGAGGAACTCTGAAAGGGAGGTTTGAACTTTTGGAAGAATTTAGATTGTTGTTTTGATTATGGTGTTATACTTTAAATTGTTTAGTTGGTGGTATTAATATAAAGAATTTTCGGAATCAAATTGATGTTCGTATTTAAATTTGTTAAATATTTACATTTAGGGAAATCACAGCAGGTGACCGCAAGAAAAAAACGTTGGGCGGTTGCCATTTGTGACGGCTATGGTCCATTTTGTTCTTTGCCGGAATTATTAATTAACGGCGGTCACGTTTAAATTAACAACGGTCAAGACCGTCGCAAAAGAATACTGACGGTTGTGGTGATGGTCGACCCAAACCGTTGTGAAGAATTTTAAGGACAGCGGGGTCAATGACGGTCGGGTGGCCGTCACTAAATGATTTGACGACGGCTGTAAGGCGTTGCTAAACGCCCAAATAACCGTCGCTAAACTGTAGTTTTGTTGTAGTGGCATCATCCATAAAATTATAAAACCTCCATAATGCAAAGTGAACAACATTCGAAAGACCGATCATAAACCAAATTCTAAAACTCTCTTATGCTTACTAGCTAGTAAATTTCTCTTTTGGTGCATGAAGACTTGAAATTAAAATAAAATAAAAAAGAAGGTTGCTGGCAGCGACCGTGGCCATGTCTTGACGGTGGCCACGACTGTTGGAATGTTTGATTTGTTTATTTAGTGATGCAATTGTGAGAACTGTGTAACAGTTGGTTCACATCCGATTGAACCGACATCATAATATATAGAATAAATATAAAGTGCTTATTGTTTCACGAATTTTATGAATTTTGAAATTTTTTTATTATATCAATATTTGGATCGATCTAGACTAGAAAATCCACTTTCATCTCGGTGTGGTCCTAAGAAATGAGTGACTACATATCATAGTGAACTCTTACAGCTTGTTCATTAATCTATTAAGGTTAATCACTGCAGTATGGCATTAGAAACTGAAATGTTATTTACTAGAGGAGTATGCAATGAACCTGAAAAAATGTACCATTACTGGTGCCAAATTACTAACGTACTTAAGGGCTTAGAGCTAGCGTGTACTAAAATGAAAGTGGATCTGCAGCTCGACTCAATGACAAAATTTGTGTTTCTCAAGGCTCTAAGATGATAACATCATCAACGTGCAAGCCTGATTTTGGCGTTTCATGAATCATGATCTTAGCATAGTATAAGTCTGAATTATCCATATTTATAGAGGCTAATTGATTCTTTGGTTGATTGTTTAACTCATAAGGGCCCTCCTATTTAATAGCGCGGTTAATTATCACGTTAATTGTATAATGTTGAAACTTTCTATGATCCAGAAAAAAAAAATTCATACATACACCCCCTGTGGAGTTATATGCAATTGTTGGATCGGATCACCCTCAATAGATTTAGCAATCACTTTCGTTTGTCCATTCGCGCCATTAAATTTTGACAGGCAACTCCGTTCTAATTTGTCCAACATTTAATTTCCACTACTCCAATTCCAGCCCAGCCACAATTCTAGATAAATATTGTACACCGTCTTTGATATTTGTTATTTATCCATGAAAATACCTTCAATGAATCATATTTTTTACGTGTGAAATTGGTTGCTCAATACCTTCCTTAATTACGATTTGACAAATACGTGATCGAATTATATTCTCTTTTTTCCATATATCGATTCGTGGGTGTGTGAACAATGCGATTGAACTACGTCATAAGAAAATGGAAACGAAAGTTACGTGATGATTGATGACCATTTAACCACCTCCTCCATGTATTATTATGAGCCTTTTCAAGACCTTCATCTAGCTGGCCGATCATTCTGCTTCTTCTTCTTCTTCTTCTTCTTCATGGAGCTCTTTTTAGCAACCATTGTTACTCTTTCGTTACCAGTGGTCCTCTATTCCATGTTCCAGCTGCTCTCCAAATTCAATTACTCAAACCAAAACTGTTACATGCTTGCTTACCAGTGCTACAAACCTCCAGACAAGCTAAAGTTGAGCACTGCAACCGCGTTGAAGATCCTCATCCGGAACCAAAACCTCAACCTCGAAGACCATCGGTATCTCCAGAAGTCCATGGTCGGGTTAGGGCTTGGAGAAGAGACGTACTGTCCAAGAAGCATACTCGAACAAGGCGGCAGGAAAACGACGACAACTTCATCCCCTACGACGCTCGAGGTTGCACTCCAGGAGATGGACGATATCGTCTTCCACACCCTCGATCGGCTATTTGCCAAGTCGGGAATCTCTCCTTCTCAGATCGACATCCTCGTCACAACGACGTCGCTTTCTGCCCATACTCCATCTCTTACAGGTTAGTAGAGGCGGAGCTACACTACACACGTAGTTTAGTTTAGGAAAGTTTACAACTTTCTAAATATTTGTTCCGAGATTATAATGTGTTTGTCATAGTAGGATGGTGGACTATCAATCTTTCACCATCAAAGTTGTGTAATTAAAAAGTTGTTACACTTTTTTTTTTTTTTTTTTTGTCGTTGACCCTTCCTCGCTCTAAGTCCTGAATTCGCTGTTGCCAGGTCGGATTGTGAATCGGTACAAGATGAAGCAAGGAATCAAGTCATACAGTCTGGCCGGTATGGGGTGCACCTCCAGCATCATCGGCATCGACATGGCGCGAAACCTACTCAACACCCAACCCAACGCCTTCGCGATCGTCGTTAGCGCCGAAGCCTTTGGGTCCCACTTTTACCGCGGCAGTGATAGGTCTATGATCCTCCCCAACCTCTTCTATCGAACCGGAGGCACATCAATCCTCTTGACCAACAACTCGAACTACAGGGACCAAGCCATGCTAGAGCTCGTGGCTCTGGTCCGGACCCACGACCCCAGCGACGAGTCCTACAACTGCTTCCTCAAAGTGGAGGACGACCAAGGCCTTGCAGGGTTCCACGTCGGAACCCTAATGATGGAAAAAGTAGCGAGGAAGTGTTTGACGGAGAATTTCAGGGTTCTTCTCCCCAAGGTGGTCCCTCTTTGGGAAACCCTACGTTTCGCGCTGCTGCTGATGCTCTCGAGGCTAGGTCGTCGTCGTCCACGACGAAAAATAATGATCGATATGAAAGCCGGGATCCATCATTTCTGCCTGCAACCAACCACGAGGGCTACTATCGATGGGTTCAGAACCGGGCTGGGGCTCGAGGAACGTGACGTGGAGCCTTCTCGAATGACGCTCCATCGATTCGGGTTCACGTCGGGGAGTAGTTTGTGGTACGTTTTGGGTTACATGGAGGCGAAGAGGAGGTTGAAGAAAGGGGAGAAGGTGTTGATGGTGGCCATGGGAGCTGGGTACATGTGCAACACGTGTGTTTGGAAGGTCAACAGAGACTTATTGCAGGGTGGTGGGGAAGAAGAAGACGACGACGTATGGGGAGATTGCATTGACCGCTATCCTCAACCGACGGAGGTTAATTCTTTCGCGGCGAGGTTGGATTGGGTTCAAGAGGATTGTATGAACTTCGTTCGATATGATGATTATATCCGAACCGAGTTTTCTAAACTTTAATATGCGCAACGTTACGTTGCATGAGAGTGTGTTAGGAGCTGTTTGGTGTTTTTGCAAAATGAATTTTCGGAAATGGACAAGAGATCTAATTTTGGTAGTTCTTGTATTTTAGTATTGTATGTATATTAAAAATAATATTTACGAGGTGGAATCTTTTTAGCACCGTCGTCTGATGTTCTGTTCTTCACTAGAGAACACTGAGGTAAGACAAAAGGAAACAAAGAAAAATCATCAGCTATAGATAGCTAGCCTAGCCTAGCCTAGCTAGCTAGTAGAATCTTCTAAAACAAACGTAGCCTTCCTGTAGCAAGGGGACGAGACTATGGAGATGGAGCCATAGATGATGTCCGACTAGCTAGAGGATTTTGCTATCCTCCTCACAGACCATTTGTCATCCAAGGTGTTTATGGAAGTACTTGGGTTAATGGATTGGATGTTATGTGGATATAGTGAAAATTTGTAATTAAGTACTTTCCACCGCGTCCATCCAATAATCAAGGATCGTAACGTCAAATGTCTATAAGTACAATCTTACATTTACACTATATTTTCGAAGGAAGGGAGGAAAAGGAGGGGAGGTGAAGGAAAATTAGTAGGGGAGGGGAGATATGGAGGTAAAGGAAATTGGGAGGAAAATGTTGTTTTATGGAGGAAAGTTGGAAGGAAAGTATGTATTGGGAAGTGTGAAAAAAATATATAATTTTATTGGTTATGTAATAGTAAAATAGTTTGATTGTATGTTGATATTATTTTCATTGGTTATGAATTGTGAATTAAATTTGTACTTCCTAACTAATTTAGTTCACTATTGAAAATCAAAAGTAGATGGTTTGAAATTTTTTGTGAACCTATTAAAATTTTCTTAGTAATCTTACTTTTACCCATATGTTGATGAGATTTGATAATAATTTATAAATATATAAATAATATACTGATTTTTCTCATATATCCTAATTTCTAACTAATTCAGACTAAAGCGATTGGATCATTGACACTCAATCCATTTTTCAACCGGGAGAACGGACTAATATTGTTATATTATGTTTATATCATAATTACCTATAACTACTAAATCATAATTATCTTTTTATAAATTATGTGTAATAATAAAGATCAATTGTTATTATAGAAAATAAATATTTAATTAAGAAAAGAGGAAAGATAAAGAATAACTTTGTATTATAAACAAATAAAAGGAACTGTCGTTTATGGTGAGGTCATTTTTATAAGGAAAGAGAGTTTTATAGTAATTATTTATTACCATTTGATTAATGAGGAAAGATAAACGACGTGGGGGGGAGAGATGCGTATTAGAGGGAAGTTTGATTTTCTCTCCTTTTTGGAGGGTCGGTTTGCACAGGAGATAGTCTCTCCTCTTTCCTTCCCCTCCGCACTGTTGCTGCCTTCGGAAACGGGGGAAAACTTCTTGGTTCCCCAACTTTCCGTCCTCCTTTACACTATGTTTGGCAACAAGGGGGGTGCAAGTTCGAGGGGGGTACAAGTTGAGGGGTAAATTGTTGGGGGGTGCAACTTGGTGGAGGGGTAAATTGTTGTTTGGATGAAAAAGTAGGGGGGTGCAAATAGAGTAAAAAGTAAGTAATTATATTATTATAAAATAGATTTATCAATTTATAAAATATTATCACAAAATAATAACATGAAAATTCAATATATAATAATAAAAATAATAAATAAAAATAATTTTAATAAAAATAATTAATATATAACAATGCTCAAATATAATTATTTATAACAACAATAATAATCATTGGTCGAGCAACCTCGAAACTCGAAATCCAACTTGTAACTGGTCATCCTAAGGGGGTTCTCGTGCCTAACTTTAAATTGAATATGGTCAAACTTAGTCAAACACGTTCGAATCTGTAAGTTTTAACTACTTATTAAAGTAAATCGAGTTAACTAAACTGTTCCTCTCTATCTTTTCAACAAATGCTTCTTATCTCTAATTTTCAATGCAAATTCGGGTCAACTAAGAGATATCGATTTGACGAGGCGAACATTGACAAACTTGCTCTCTTAGTCAAACGGTCAACCCCAAACAACTTCTACACTAATATAGATATAAGAAAAAATTAATAATATTAATTATTATGTAATTATAATCTAATTAAAAATTCATAATTTCCCTCCTCCTCCTTCCCCCTCCCTTCCTTCCTTTCCTTGCACCCCAATTTGGGGGGTAAGCCGAAACAGTGAATTTACGCTCACGTTTTGCACCCCCCTACTGTTACAAAATAACCAAACGGGGGTAAACACCTTGGAACTTGTGTTTACCCCTCCAAACTTGCACCCCCTTCCATTTGCACCCCTTCCCAAACATAGTGTTAGCCTCCCCTCTTCTTTCCCTCGCTCCAGAACAGAGGGTTAGTTTGATTGCCTACTAAAATCGGAGTATTAATCGATTTCGTTTATAGTGAATTCAAAAATAATTTCAAATGATAAGAACCAAAACTGTATCAATATGGATCAAATATCTTGCAAGTCGATTTCTCTTTCAGTGCAATGGGATTTGGAATCCAAAGAAAAGGTGGTATGGCAACTGGCAACACCTTTCATGGTAATTAGCGATGTCAATAATCACCTCAACCACATGGGTATTAATTAGGTTAGATATGAAATTCAAATACAAGTTAAATGAGTAGAGTTTGATATATATTTAATCCTTGAATTTGAGTTTGTATACTTAACTATATGCAAATTATAGTTTTATAAATAAATTTAAAATATTTTAAGATTTAGTACCTAAATTTAATATTTTTGCATATAAATTCTCAAAATATCGATACAAATTTACATTTTAGAAACTAAGAATTGTGTGTATTACATTTTGATACCTAAACTTTTTAAATTTTACAAATTCCACCAGTCCAGTTTTGTATATGTAATTAAAAACCCCTCAAGCAAATGAGCATCTGTACAACTATATACCCATACCCATACCCATACCCATACCCATACCCATCTCCAAAACTCTAAACTTATATAGACTTCAAACATAGCCTACAGACTACCACATAGACTCCACTTATTCTTTTGTTACCACACGCACCCATACAAACAGGAAAATAAATTCTTTCGAAAGACCAAACAGTGAAATAATGTTTCAATTATTGCAACGCTTGAGGGCGTAGCTAGCTTCACCATGAACTAAACAATTTAATATAATTCATACCTGAAATTTGATGTTTTGATGTTTTCCCCTGTACATTTGCCCGAATAACAGTACCCTTTTTAACGGAAATTTGGAGATTTTTTTAAGGGAATTTCTAATAATTTGAAAATGAAGTGGAATTTGGCTCTCGGAAGCAACAAATTTGGACATCTGATTTATGAATAGTGGTTGATAGATATGCATCCTCGAATACATTTTCAGAAGGAGCATGCATGTGAATTCTATCTTTGTCTTGGTCTTGCATTTGGGGATTCTGCTGCAGCAACATGGTGCAGCCCCACAAGATATATGAATTATACAGTGTTGAATTTAGGGCTCGTCAATTATGAACATGATGCACCTTGTCTCTTGTGCTTCCTCCTGTTGATTGTTGCAACCTTGTCTCGCATTCAGAGATACATATAGCAGCTCTTAGATGTACGTACGGCAGTGGAGTTGATCGTGAAACGATGGATCCACAATCAGGCTTTGATACCAACTTGATGCATATAAATTTTACATATCTTAGAACTAAAAACTTCATATACTAACGAACTAATAAAATCACTTAGGAATAAGGAAATATCGATCCAGTCTTCTCATACTACTCTATAAATTAACCTGAACAAAGTATATATTTATAGCAAAATGACCCGAAAACCTAATCCCTCTATACGTTGGCTGCTGACTAGCTCTAAACCAACAAGGATTCAACTACCGATTACCCAAGAAACTAATTAATAAAGTCATAAACTTTTTTCACAATAATTCGAATAATTGTAACTGATTAGCTTATGACATGGTATTAGAATTGATTTGATTGAGTAACTTTCTTCTAACAACTTGTGTTATTAGACCAATTGATTTACAACAAACCGATTAAAATAGATTTATAGTCAACATGTTAATAGTTGGGCAAGGGAGCAAGTTTGGCTATTGTTAGTGAGTTGTATACGATTGATTATTGTACTTCTCTCAACAAGTCGAGTTATTGAGATCAACTAGTTCCTAACATGTTATCATAGCCTTCTGTAAGCGAAAATTTTTCTGTTTGATGGAGTATTAGTGAGTGATATAAAATGTATTATTGAACATCTCCCTTGATTTCGAGTTATTGATATCAACTGCGATATTAGACAACTATTACGCTACTAAACCCCAGCCACCCATTGGCCGGAAGTTCACCTTAATAATTTCGATTCACTGACTTTGCGAGAGGGCAATAGTAAATATATTTTTGACAGTTATTTTTCTAGCTGCTAGGGACCATACAGCAGCAAATGGTAGTAAAATTAGAGATGATATGTAATGTATATAGACTATCATCCATACAGACTCGTCCAAAGAAAGGAAGGCTCCATTAAAGCTGTTACATGACAGCCTTCTCTGCCCAAATTGACCATCAAAGAAAGGTATACATCACTGCCCCTTTTCCCCCTCCACTTCTTTTTTTCTTTCTTTCAAAGCCTAAACAGTTTTCCCTTTCCTCTCCCTTCATTTCATACATGATTCTCAGGCTGTATGTATATGAAATGAATCCATCGACCAGCTTGATTTCTGAGTCCTGACATGAAGCCATCCAAAAAAAATAATAATAATTGATGAACAGAACTTCATGTGAGCTACACAGATTGTTGTTATATACTACACCACAGATGCATCCGCTCTTCTTCTAGCTACTATATATACCAGCAACAACAAAATTCACTTAATTAATTCTAACTTTAGTGCATAATTTTCTATCGGTTAACCTGTTTCCGGCAACACTTAGTAGATATTATCGCTCTATCATTACGATTAAGATAAACTTTAAAATTTCTCATCTTATAATCACCATACAAACAACAACAAAATTTTTTTGAACGTTACTGCATAAGTTTTTTCCCCATTATAAGTGATTGTAGGCTAACGTGGTGTCCCTAACGCACAGTGGATGTTATCAGTTTCACTTTATGATTATCAAACCATATAATTTGTAAATATTTTTCATTTCATTAAATTGGTCTTCATTGATGGAATTTTTTTTTTAAAGCTTGAAACTTGGGAATCATCATTGTTTATTTCAAGTAATTAAGGGACACAAGTTAACATTGGCATAATATACTGTATAAAAAATCATATAACATTTCAAAATTTGTTCAATAATTCAAATTATTAGAACCCTTAATTCTTTATGATATGTATTAGATGAATTTGTAGGCAATTGGGCAATCACAAATTACAGTACTCGATGGGGGAACTAGCGCAGCATCAAGAAAAATATAAAACTGGAAAGGAAATGAAGCTAGTTTATTAAAATAACTTATGATCAGATCCAAACAATTAGTCTCTTCAGATATAAGATAAGCTTGAAGCTATGTTTATTGACTAATCCCATCTAGCATCTCATAAACAGCTGTGGCGATCTCATCCACCGTATTCAGCCTGCAATCCTCTTCAACCTACATTGAATTAAGTTAATTAGGCACAACAGCTCATCAGTAATTAAGTATGGTGATTATCCTTTAATCACTCCCGTGTGTATACATAGAGCCTATACGCACATAAGTACACCAATACAAACACTTAAAAAATGGGTAACCAAACAAAAGAAAAGCGTAGCTCCTGTCTTGATTGAGCTATGGAGCCGCAGTTAGTAGCCAAGACAATTCCATGTTCTTCCTTAATTAAATCATATGCATGGAAAATTCTGCCTTATCGATTACTCAATGTTGGCTTTACACAAGTAATTTCAAACCATTAATTCGAACTTCGTTATTTGTTGGTACTAATCCCAATTCCCAAACGCATACCTTAAATTCATAACCAACATTACTTCTTGCAAAAAAATATTAAGCCAATAATCGGACTTAACTGAATTACCCAATTATAGAAAAATGAGTATTAATACTAAACAAGAATTATGACAGGTCAAATATCGAAGTAGGCTGACCCTAATGATGATGATGAATCCATACGAAATGAGTCATGTCAAGTTGAACATCAAGATGTACTGAAGTACCTATTACCTAGTCACATCAACCTTTGTCACCTCTACTTAAATTTGTTGCTAAAACATATCCTAAATACCATCTTCAAGAAACAACAAATAGTGTTGTTGTTGCTTGATTAACACCAAGAGAAATGATTAAACACAAACTATTATAGTTTACCTTGAGGCTGAGAGAGTAGAGCACAAGTTGGCGGTCATCATCATCCGCCGCCGTCGTGACATTGAGGTGAAGAACAGAGAGGCGAAAGCTCTGCAGCCCGGCGACCAGCCTCAGCAGCTGCCTCGCCTGCTTCCTCCACCTAACCCTCACGCTGGCGTGACTCTCCACCATCGTCACCTCCACGTCACCAACTCGGGGCCCCACCGTCTTGCTGCTACTGATCTGTTGGGAGTCAAAGTTATTGGCAGAATTCTCCCCAACCAACGGCGGCAGTCGCGAGGAGGCAGAGGAACTGTACTGCGGGAAGGTGAAGAACTCAGCAAACGGATGCAATTGATGATCTTCTCCTTGATCGGTCAGCTTCCGCTTGGCTTCTTTGTGGTGCAGTATTGCTCCCAAGTGCTGCAGCCTCTGCTCCAGCTCCTTCACGAAGTTAATTGCCCCGCCGATGATGGAAGCTTGGTCACCCTGCGCTTTTTCATTTCATTACTACTCATCTTTAGTGTCTAAATTAAATCGGGCTCAGCAGATGAAAAGGGAACACCAAAGTAATGGTAATTAGCAATAATTACCCTTTGAACGTAGGATTCAGGCATAAGGGAGCGAAGAACAGAGAGGTAGTCATTCATTTGCTTCCTCCGGTTACGCTCGACGGCAATGTGAGTCATCCTCTGGCTCTCGATCTCCTCTTTGTTCTTCCTGCTCCTCGCCCGCCGCGGTTTCTTCCCCCGCGGCAGAATAGCCTCTGCCTCTGCCTCCGCTGCCGCGCCGGCTGGGGAAGAAGATGATGATGTTGGATCCACTCCGCCGTTGAATTCAGGGGAGCCAGTGACATTTCCGGCCGTTACGGAGGAAGGGTAGTGAAGGGTAGGGAAGTAATTTTCCCAATGGTGAGGATCATTATCAGTGTGTTGGTGGAGGAAGACGGGCTCTGCTTGGTTGTCGAGAAAACAATGGCCGCCGCCGTCGAAATCAGGCTTCCAGTTCGGCGTCGATTCGAGGAAGGAGTAGAGAGGGTCTTTGGAGGTGAATTCGGTGAAGAAAGTAGAGTCTTGCTGCTGCTGCTGCTGCTGCTGGAAGATATAATCAAGAGCCTCTAGCGCCATTGGAGAGATTGCTGATGCTCTGTTTCTGATTTATGGAAGGGAAGAGTTGCGGGGGCTGATCAGAGAAGGCAGGGGACGCCTTCTTATAGAGGTTGTATTTTCAATTTTGTTTGTCTAAATTTTGTCAGGGAGTGAATGATGGCCTGGTGATTAAATCGCTCTTACATTCTTCACAGGGTTTGCACGTGAAATAGTGTTTTACTTTTTACATTTTTTACTATGGAGCTCACAAATTTTGGAAGAATTTTACAATGATTTGTAACATTGGTGTTTTGGTTATATAAAGAAATTTTGTTATGATACAATATTTTTTAACGGTGTATATATACGTTTTTGTAATAAAAAAAATTACCGTACAAATTGAATTTGTACATTTATGTTACCGTACAAATTTAATGTCCTAATATAGAGGTACATATTCTGTTATAGAAGCAATTGAATTTGTAACTTTACATTATGGTTCAAACTAACTTGTACCATGACATAAATGTCCAAATTATTTTTATTGTACAAACTAGGTTTGTATCTTTAACATTACGGTACAAGTACAATTTGTATATAAACGCACAAATGTTTTAGAGCAAAAATTGCAACAGGTCACATTAGTGGTGAATAGTAACTATCCATTACCTTACTCTTCTCACGTATTAATGATCCTTTATTAATAAAACTAATGGCGTTGCAGGATGCCTTGATACGATGTGCATGCTTAGGAATGGCAATGGGGCAGATTTGGGGCGGATTTTTTGGTACCCAGACTCGCCTCGTGGCAGGTCAGGTTCAGGTTGGGTAATTTATCACGGGACGCAGGTCGGGGCATGTCGACCCAATGGGTATGCAATTTATATGAAAATATTAGAAATATTCGTTGTTTTTGTTATAAGACAAAGAAAACAAACAATATTATGATAAATGTAGTTAAATTATTAGAGAAATTGAGGTTTTCACTAATTTATAACTTTATTATAGCTAAACTATGATGTGATAAAAGAAAAATCCTAAGTAATTTGACGAAGATTACATGTAATTTAGACAAGAACGGGTCGAGAATGGGGTGGGTCAGGGCAGGTCCGGTCAATGATAGTACCCATGCCCACCCGCCTACGAGGCGGGTTGGACCCGCCCAAAACAAGCCAAACAGGTCCGGTAAAATGGATCAGATCGAAATTGCCATCTCTAACATGCTTGGTGTTGCCTTTCATTGACGATCAAAGGGGAGCCCAGTTGGTTTTTGTTTTTGAACAAATTTCGCACTAGAGATGCATGGTATGTTCTTGGTGGATGGCTCTGAGGTAGATTCAGATTTTTACCAGATTCTAGAGTGCGTTTTGTGGGTCACGGTGAGAATAGGATCGCTCATAGGACAGGTTACCGTGATTACTATAATAATAATCACGTGGTTATTTTTTTTTTTTTTGATGGAATCACGTGGTTATTAAAGACAAACTGGGTATGACAAAAAAATTATGAATTACATTTTTAACAAATTACATTTTAAGACGTTATAAAAATATATTAATATAATTTTCTCTCTTTTCCTCACTTCCACAATCTTGAGCAAGATCTCTATTTTCATTTTTTTTTAATTTTTCCTTGTTTTCGTTCACCCGAACTAATACCGCTACAACAATAAAACAATACCAATCCTTTAAAAAAACATTATCAATGCACAGAATACAAATACCATTCGAGAAATAAAAACACTACCATTTCACAAAGCACCAATACTATGGCAGATTTAATCAATATCAATACATGCAAATCAATAACATTACATGATAATCAATACCAATGCAAAAAAAAAAAAAAAACAATACCAATGCGAAAATACTACCACTAGAGAAAAATAACACTACCATTTCAAAAAAATAAACAATATTTACATGATAATCAATACCAATGTAAATACCAATGCGAAATAACACTACCACTATGGAAAAATCAGTACCAGTGCGGAAAAAACAATACTAATGAGAAAAATACTACCACTACGAAAAAATCACTACCAATTTGGGAGGGAAAATCAGATCTAGGGTTTTTATTCATTCCACTTTTTCCAGCCACAACCGTCTCCCAAAGAGAGAGGGGGCAGCGGGAGGGTGCCCGTAGCAGTGGATGAGGGTAGCCGGAGTGGAGGGTGGCCACCGGCAGTGGGAGGTTTGCCGAGGGTGGCTACCAGCGGAGGAAGGGAACCACCAACAAGGTTTAGGTATATAATATATAGAAATTAATTTTTTAAAGGGTTAATATATTGGTATGGCCTGAAATTTGACCAAAATAAACATCCTGGCCAATATTTTCGATCTATAACATCCTGGCCCAAACTATACATCAAAATAATTAAATTGGTCAAACCCGACGTTTGACCGTTAACTTGGACGGTCAAACGCATTGACTAACGCTCAACGCGCCATGTAACTGCCAACTCAGCAAATTTCAAATTTTTTTGTAATTTTCACCTATTATGATTTTCCTTTTTTCATTTTAAGAAAAATAGAAAAATGCTTTTAATTTTTGGTTCCGTCTGGCCGCCGATGGAGACGACGGAGCGATTCTGGGAGCCTCCGTCGTCCCCATCGGAGGCCGGGCGGAGGAACCGAGGCGGAACCAAAAATTAAAAGCATTTTTCTATTTTTTCAAAATGAAAAAGGAAAATGGTAATAGGTGAAAAATAAATAAAAAATTGAAATTTGCTGAGTTGGCAATGACATGGCACGTTGACCATTAGTCAATGCGTTTGACCGTCCAAGTCGGTTAAATGTCGTGTTTGGTCAATTTAGTTATTTTGATGTATAGTTTGGGCCAGGATTTTATAGATCAAAAAGATTGGCTAGAATGTTTATTTTGGTCAAAGTTCAGGCCATACAAATAAATTAACCCTTTTTAAAATGATTAAATCAGATGTGGCATTTTTTTATTCTCAACATTACCCGAATATAATGTTCACCATAAAATTAAAATTAGGGTAAAATAAAGATAATGAATGGTGTAGATTTTAGTAGCCATCGTGATTACTCAATTTTGAGTAATCACCCTAATACTTTCCGATCGCTCATAGAGTGACGAGAAAAGCTCTTAATTATTTAATTCCCCAGCGAATTTGTTTGGTTTGAATTTTGTCTTTGGATTACAATCTTTGTAATTTGGAGTTGCATATCTATTGATGACTCATGAAATACAGATATTTTTGGCTCTGTGGGTTAATTCTCTCTGTGGTACCTTAGTCCGGCTTCAGTCGCGAAAAGGAGTTGCCAGCTCCTTGGTTAGGCCCGATTACGACATCAACGAAGTTGGTAACAGTGAGGGTTTTCACGTTGTTAAAAAAAGTCTTTAAAAGGGAAATGTGGAGGGCCTATCATTATGTCACATTTTTTAGCTTATTTGGTTGTAAAATGGTTGTTAGAAAAAACAATATAATTAAAAATCATCAATGCGGGATAGCTCAGTTGAAAGAGCGTCAGACTGAAGATCTGAAAGTTGCGTGTTTGATCCACGCTCACCGCAATTTTGTTATCAATTATAATAAGACATGTATTATAGATCCTTTTACTTTATTGAAATATTGATGACTCTATAACATTTATCATTTTAATTTTTAAGTCTCTCTTGTTAAAAGAAAGGATCACCTATATTTTTTTTTGCCAAATGAAGATTTTTTCTGCGATACCATCATTAGATTTTAACTTGAACATCACAATTTCGAATCTCAGGAAGGGGTTTTCATTCGTTATTGTTGACCCATTTCAGTAGCATGTGAAATTAAAAAAACTATTTTTATACGAAAAAAACTACTGCAATAGAGTAAATTAGATTCCATTCCAAAACAAAGTGATATAGCAAAAATTCAATGGAACTAATGGGTTGTTTGGTTAACGTTGTTCTCTTGATGGTCACGTGTCTAAAATCTACTTACATGCTTCCGAATGTAAAGTCCCACGTACATTAAAACGCAACTTCGATTTCTTTTTATCATTTTTATCATGCTTCATTAAGTTAACGAAACAGATTCACACCACACGTAATGCAATAGTAATCGAATGTAACCCATATCATAAAATGGCGGTTACATTCTTGTAACAATCGACACAACTAATCCTTGATCATCTATGTGCCCCTACCCCAAATTGCTCCTAGGTATATTATTTTTATGGGGGAAAAATAGGATAGGGAGAGAGGGTAAAGAGGAGTTACATAATGGAGCGGTTTTTCAATGTTTTCCTTCTATTGATTTGGTAATGATTGTATGAATAATTATGATACGGTCGACCCAAAGGAAATTGAAAAAACTTAATTCAAAGCCATCTATCTGGTGGGTGGCTGTGTGGGGAGGGGTGATGCCAAATGCCAAACCCAAAACCCGAAATTGAGAGATTCGTGAGACCAAACACAGTTCTGACAGGCAAAGGCAGAGATTCTCTCATTTGTTGCCGTTTTCAAGAAAACGAGATTGGAGCGCATGGAGAAGATAGACTACGTACATATATCTCAGCGCCCAATCAATTATAGTGTTCAGGAATTCCATGCATGTGACTTCATAATAACAAATAATAATAATAATAATAATAATAATAATAATAATAATAATAATAATAATGCAGCCTATTAACTGACGGTTCTCTTCTTACATATGAGACCTCCCTTTGTTTTCCATGTTGTTTTGTTTTTTGGGTGTTAATATAGTTTGGCTGGATATGTTGTGGAGAGAGTGAAATTTGCAATTGCATGTAAAGGAATGAGCATATAATTTCTCGTTGAAATACAAACAATTAATTAATGTTATGTTATTGTGTAAATACAAACAATTTCAATTAATTTGTTAGAGAGTGGTATAAGATCCAGTATAACTTTCTTCCAACAATTCGAGTCATGGGGACCAACTGATTTATGACATGGTATCAGAGCTGGTTTAGCCAAGTGGTCGTGTGTTCGAATCTCTGCGACCCTAGTATTAACAATTGATTAAAGCACAAGGTATGGTGATCGCAAATGCAAACTTCGAGCCCATGGGTTGACTTTCGTTTGAGTGGACGTGTTAGAGAGTGGTATAAGATCCTGTTTAACCTTTCCCCAACAACTTGAGTTATTAGTACCAACTGGTTTACTGTGGGGTAGGAAGTATTTGAAAATTTAATCAAATAAAAGTGAGTCAAGCAGGTTCATTTTCATTATTATTATTTTACATAATTCTCAACAAAATTTAATGCATGGGATCAAACATTGATTTTACAAAATGCATTAGATCTGATAAATGGACCAAACCACACGTATGCCCAAAGTACTTTTGGGTTAAGCCTTTTGATT